TCCTCCCTGGTCATTGTCCAGCTCTCTGACGCATAACAAGTGATTGCAAAGACCATGGCCTGTACCAGACGCACCTTAGTCTCCAGAGACACACTGTTGCTGTTCAATACTTTAGACAGGTCCCTAATAGCAGACTTTTCCATCGCAATACGTCTTTTCATTTCCTGGCTGCTGGTGCCAAGAGTTTTGATTGTGGAGCCAAGCAGAGTAAAGCTGTGAACAATCTCAATCTCTTGACCATCCATCCTGATGCTGCCAATTGGTCCAGTGGTGAGAATCTTTGTCTTCTTGATATTGAGCCTCAATCCATATTGAAGGCAGCAGTCCTTGACTCTCAGCAGCAAGCGCTTCAGGTCCTCCTCATTTTCAGCAAGCAGTGTTGTTGTCATCTGCATAACGCAGATTGTGGATAGATCTTCCACCAATCTTGACCCCACATTTCTCCTCATAGAGCCCAGCCTCCTGGATGATCTGTTCCGGATACACGTTGAAAAGGTATGGAGACAGGACACCTGATTCTTCATTTTGAACTTACATAACACTAATGAAACCAGATTCCTATTTCTAAGCCCTGATGACTCCCTTAGCTTCTGCCCTTTCTTTAAAGTGATAGTAACTAAAATTAAAATTAGTCTTGCCATTTAAGTCCTTGGCAATTTTCTCCGTGGAATTAATTTTTCACAAAGAAAATTCACTCCTAATACTAATTAATTATTCTGATGAATCCACATTCATCACTTTTTATACTGAGAATAAATAATCCTTAACTCTAAAAGTCTCTTGGAATTTGTGTAATATGAAGAATTTTTCTCTTTCTTCTATGCCCACAAAGCATCTAATTGAATTATCCACAGTGTTCTATTAAGAGCAAAAGCAGGCCCCACCTGACAGGCACTGTATGCTCAGTTTTACTGCTACTGGTGTTAAGGACTGTTGAGCCACTTACAACTCCTACCGATCCTGTCCAATCCTGCGCCATGCTCTCCATCTCTGCCAGGATACAGAGGGGGAAAGTCAAGGATTTTGAGGTCTAGAATCTCCAACAATAGTTAAAGATCTCATAATTACTCCCCAGGAGAGCAGGATTCTTTAGAACCATCATCAAAATTCCAGTCTGTTCCCTTCCAGTAAGTACAATATGAAAACGTGTGGCCTGCACAAATCACTGGAAAAATAGCTAAGCCAGCTCCACCTTTCTGGCTTACCACTGTGGGGCCAAGACCAGTGGGTGCTTTATCAAAGTTATGTAACAGCAACAACCACAGAGAAGTTGACCCTGAAATACTTCAGCATACCAGATTTTTCCACTGATATTCTGCACTTGTAGAGCCAACATCTGAAACTCTAAAATGTTGATCCAAGGAACCACATCAGCAATTCTCTGTCTTAGATGGAATATGAAAACACCAGTGAAAGCCACAGACTTCAGAGCTCTGATTTCCTTCAGACCTAGCATCCCGCTCTAGCGGGTTATTTGGAAAGAATGAATCAGCAGCATTGAACCTGGTTATTCTGCTGGGAAAAGATAAAAAGTCAACAGAATCTGGTTTAGAACACAATATTAGAGCTCATAATGTGGTCTATTTTCTTGATCAGCTGTATGGTTACAATAAGCAGCAGGATGATAAGCAGAGAAAATACTGTCAAGGGTTTCATTTAACTTGAATTCATGGTCCATGGAAGCAGGAGTCAAGAAATCAAATGATGTGTTGTGTTTCAAAAGACACCGTGTTACAGTGTCTGAAACAAAGATGTCACTTTGAGGACTGATGTGCACCTGACCCAAGTATTTTCCATTATCTCACATGTATGTGAGATGGACAATAAATAAGGAAGAAGTAATGTCTCTCGATCACGGTGCTGGTGAAGAATACTGAACACACCAGAGGCTGCCAGGGAACAAACAAACCCACCTTAGAAGCAGTACAGCCAGAATGTTCTTTAGAAGCGAGGATGGGGCTTTGGGTATGTTATCAGGAAGGATCAGTCCGTGCAGAATGACATCACACTTGGCAAAACAGAAGGTGAGCAAAAACGAGTAAGACTCTCAAGGACATGGGCTGGCATGGTGGCTGCCACACACTCACACTCACTCACTGGTGCCAAGTTAGAACTGACTCATAGCTGACCCTCCAGCAGGTTTTCAGAGGTGGTACCTCACACGGAATGAGACTGCCCATCTTTCTCCTGCACAGCAGCTAATGAATTCGAACCATCTGTCTTTTGGTTGGCAGTTTAACTCCTTACCCACAAGACCAGAAATCTAGTAATCTGAGTAATCTGGTCACTGCAACAGTGCACCAATATAGCAATGATTGAGTGGATAGCATGGTGCTCTGCTGTGTTATCCAATATAGGGAAGCTATTCAAGTACTCAACAGTACCTAATACTAACAAATCTTGATCAGAAGTGACGTTACTATTATCTCTCTTTCTTGAGACCAATTCTCTTAGGTGTAATGACACTCTCTCTACACCTATAAAATTGCAAAAATATTCCTCAGAAAGAATAAGGAAAATAATTGTGAAGATGTTCACAAAATGCTAAATTCATCCTTAAATTTAAAGACGTATCTACATGTAAGGAGGCATCTACAACGACATGTTATAAACTTTCTTGGTTTTTGTTGTTTTTTTTAAAAAAAGCATTTGACAGACTTTAATTGACCAACTGACATGCTTCAAATAACAGAGACAGCCCTGAATGTGTTTGTCTGCGCCAGGAAATTTGGAAGACAGCTACCTGTCCAACTCACTAGAAGAGATCCAGATTTGTTCCCATTTCAAGAAAAATGATCAAACACAAGGTGGAAAGTATCAAATAATAGCATTCATTATGCAAGTAAAATACCGCTGAAAAGCATCCAAACTGGTTAGAACAAGACATAGACAGAGAACTCCACAAGTTCAGAATTGCCAAGGTTTAGAAGAGGCCCTGACATCAAGGATATCATTGCTAATATCAGATGGATACTAGCAGAAAGCAAAGTACATCAGAAGAATGTCTACCACTGTTTTATTGACTGTGCAAAAACATTTGACTGTATGGGAATTCCAGAACATTTAATTATGCTTAGACGAACACTATACCTAGATCAAAAAGCAAATGTCCAAACAGAGCAAGGAAATACTGCATGGTTTCAAATTAAGAAAGGAATGCATCAGGGATATATCCTTTCTCCATACCTACTCAATCTGGATGCTGAGCAAATCATGTGAGAAGCTAAGCTATATGAAGAAGACTGTGGCCCCACGACAGGAGAAGACTCATGAACAATCTGTTATGCAGATGACACAACCTTGCTTGCTGAAAGTGAGGAGGATTTGAAATGATTGCTGTAGAAGACCAAAGATTATAACCCTCAACATGAATTACACCTCAACATCAAGAAGACAAAATTATTTACCTCCAGGCTGCTAAGCAACATCATAATAGCTGGGGAAAAGATTGAAAATTGTCAACAATGTCATTTTACTGGTATCCACAATCACCACTAGCAGTAAGGAAATCAAAAGACATGTTGCACATACACACACAAAAAAGACATTTTGCAGTAGGGAAGTCTGTTGTCAGGGACCACTCCAAAGTAATGAGGAGCAAGGATGTCAGCTTAAAAACTAAGGTGTACCTGCTTCAGGCCAAGGTCTTTTCAATCACATGCTATGCATCTGAGAGCTGGACAATAAGGATGACAGAAAAAGAACTGATGCCTCTGAGTTGTGTTGCACAACAACCCCATGGACTGCCAAATGAGCAAATGGATATGTCTTGGAGACAGTATGGCCAGAGTGACTGGAGGCAAGAAAAGTGAAGCATCATCTCATATACTTTGCACATGTTGTTAAAAGAGACTATTTTTTGGAGGGGGATATTATGTTTAGAAAGGTAGAGGGTCAGAGAAAGAGAGGTAGACACTCAATGAGGTGGACACAATGATTGCATCAATGGACTTGAGTATGTCAGAAATAATGAGGATGGTACAAGACAGGGCAGGGTTCAGATCTGTTGTTCACAGAGTCACTCTGATTCATACTCAACAGCACACAACAACAACCCAGGTTGCCACTGTCTGCTTCTCTTTTCTGCAATACGGAGTCCTAATTTATAGACAGATGTATAAGATTCATTTATGAAGCAATGGCTTGGTGTTTTATACTAGGCCTGATTTACAACAAACTTTTAAAATCACTGTATTAATACAACTGGTAAAGCAAAGACATTTTAAGGAATCAAAACCTCATTACAAAACATGTAACAATAATGTAATGAGTACTCTTTATGTAAAATTTATTAGGATATATTTTAATGAATATTTTCCTTCAAGGAAATACATTACTCCTCAAAAATATTTCAGCTTCTCTTTGTGTTCAGAGCCAGTTTCAAACCACAGAAGGTATATCATATTATTTTAACCCCTTCTCTTTAAAACAACAAATCTAGCTTGCAATTATATTCATAGCAATCTCAATCCCACACAAACTCCCCCTTAAAAAAATCAAACTATGACACTTTAAACAAAACAAACTGGCAGTTCAAATAACTCACACTCTCACACTCAACCACAGTGAATGACATTTCCTGACACAAGAATTCAGTAAAGTGTCATAAAAGCATTTTCACAAGAGATGTTCCAAGAACTTCCTGAACACTGGAACAAAGTTACAGAAAGGAAAGGACTAGCAATCCTTTCATTTCATAATTGCAATAGTTTCCTTTAACAATTATTGTATTCAAAAGTACACCACATACTTATTAACTAATTGTGTGTTAGTTAGCTAGGACCAATTTAAGTAATACAAGATCAACAAAAATAAGCATATACTAATGTCTTTCCTTTTTATTTTCCTGCAGTAAGTTCGAGAAGCACAAGGATGTACATACATACCTGAACACACACTCACAACTTACCATCTGGAGCATATTTAGAGGATATCCCTAAAATGACTGCAAGTGCAATAAAAAATGAAAAACTAGTTATAGCAAAGCAAATGAAAGTATTTTTGTGTCTCTTCTGCTTCCGGATTTCTCTCTGTGCTCTCTGTTCTTCGGAAGAGAATCCTAAAGTTGCCCGGGTTTCCTGTCTCATGGAGGTCAATTTGGCTGAAGCTTGGCTCTTTGGAGGAGGAGGTGGGCGCAGCGGGACGACTTTCCCCGGAATGTAACCAGATGAGCGATAGCTGCTACCATTCTGAGGTTGCTGGAAAGCAGGGGAGTGTCCCCTCGAATTAGTGGCGTACATGATACACTATCACTGCAAAAAGAAAAAGAAATAATAAAACATTTAGAAAGGGTGGACTGTCATGATTTTTTTAAAAATAAAAATCAGTACATAGCAATGCCGGTAGCCACAGAGTCAATTACACGCTGTTCCAAAGACAACTGAGTGGGTTAAGAGTAGAACAGCACCCCACAGGGTTTCCAGTGGCTGAGGTTTAATAGATAGATTGCCAGGCCACTCAAATATCCATCCTTTCAGTTAGGACCCAAGCAGGTTGCCTGTTTGCAACACCAAATAACTCTCAAGCAACCTTATATCCCTGATATAATAATGGGAGCACTGGTAGGATAACTCCATAAAACTCTCAAGTCATCGTATGTCCCTGATATATATGGAGTACAAGAAGTTTCCACTGTAATCCCAAAGGAATTTCACTAATTATCTTTTAATGCCATTTTCCCTCAATTCTGGCTTCATTATTCTCATCACCTTCTAGTCCTCTATCTCAAAATAAATCTTTTCATTATTTCTTAATTATTGCTAAAGAGATTCTAATGAGAACCTAGGTTGAGAACCACTGCCCTCTGCTCCTTGGTCCAGTGTCTATCATGCATAATAAGAACTGATCTCTTTGAATTGTGGTGTTGGTGACAAATAATTGAATTTACCACAAACTGCTAAAGAATGAACAAATCTGTCTTGAAAAAATTACAGTCAGAATGCTTAGAAGCAGGAGAAGCAAGATTTCATCTCATGTACTTTGATGTTATCAAAAGGGACCAGTCTCTGGACATCATGCTTGTTAAAATAAGAAACAGGAAAACCTTAAACAAGATGTATTGGTGCTTTGGTTGCCACATGGACTCAACAGAGCAACCACTGTGGTTCCAGGCTGGTCATAAAGGACTGGGCAGAATTTTTTTTCTGTTGTAGAATAGGGTCACCATGAGCAAGAACACTCCAGACTGCATCTAACAATAAACAGCATAAAAATCAATGGGAAAACTTGCTTAAATGCAGATTCCTGGACTCTCTTTCCTGGAGATTCCTATGTTGTTGCATCAATTAGAGTACAAAGAAATCTGAACTTTCTGGTTTTGTTTGGATGTGTGACCTGGGACACCTCTGTGTCTACCGGTGAGACCTGCCCACTAGGGTTTTCAATAGAGAAACAGCACTTGAGGCCTGTTTCTTCCATGGTGCTGCAGGATGGGTTCAATCCAGCAAGCTTTTGGTTATCAGCTGGGCAAAACTGTTTGTATCACCCAGGAACCTTGATTTTCTATTTTTAAAGCATAATCTAATGGTACTGATATAGGTGCTCTCATTCTGAAAACCTGTACTCTTAAATTTCAAGTTATGCTAAAGCTCATGCGATCTAGCTGACTACAAAGATAAATGGTCTATAAATAAGCATTCAGGTACAGCATTCACCTTTCCCACTAGGTCTATTTTTTTGGTCAAGTAATTTAAGTTTTTCTATACATGTTATCAAAAAGACTCTGGTAGTTATGTATTGGACTGCTAACTGGAAGATCAGCTGTTCAAATCCAACAACAGCTTCTGGGGAGAAAAATGAGACAGTCTTCAGCCATGAAGACTCAGGCTCAGAAATCCAAGCCTAAGCATTGTTGTTATGTGCCATCGAGTCGTTTCCGACTCATAGAGACCCTATGCACAACAGCCCTAAACCCTGCTCTATCCTGCGCCAACCGCACCGCCTCTGACACACCCATATTCCAAATTGGAATGGACTAAACCAACAGTGGGTTGAGTTTGGGTTTCATATGGGTTACCACTTAACTACAGACTATGGACCTATTTGCTGAGCAATGGTGTCTCTCTGGAGACTAAGGTGCATCTAATCCAGGCCATGGTTTTTGCTACTACTTGTTATGCATCAGAGAGTTGGACAGTGACTAAGGAGAATAGAAGAATTGATGCCTTTGAGCTGTGGTGCTGGAGAAGAGTACTGAGGGTACCATGGACTGCTAGGAAAACAAACAGATT